TCTCTCTCTCTCTCTCTCTCTCTCTCTCTCTCTCTCTCTCTCTCTCTCTCTCTCTCTCTCTCTCTCTCTCTCTCTCTTCCCTTCTGTGCGTACCTCTCCTCCCTCCCATCCCACTCGTTTCTCACCTATCTACACTAGGTTCATAAGCCAACCCCGACCTCCCCGAGCATTGTATCTGACCCCCTTTTTCCACCCCCACTTATCTTGCACACTGTCTGCCCTGTTGTGGGACACAAGCAGGGCATTTCGGCCAAAATCTGGAATCTGAACTCCATGTGGTGGCCAGCTTCTAGCTCAGACGAGGTTTGCCCGTCCCCAAGCCTCCCAGCTGGGCGGTGGGGCCAACACTCTTTCATTGGTACATGACGAGCTCGGCACTGAGCACAACAACAGCGCCAGTTGAGACTGAACAACAGAGGATGGGTGATCATGCAGAGGAATTTTCAAGAATTGCTTGTTGTGGCTGCCCTGCCTTGCTAAGAACTAGTATGAGTCCTTAGGAGATATAATGGTGCCCGTCAACAACAAGTCAGTCCCTTCCATGCTTTTATTGATATGAAATGATTTGGTCCTGTGCTTTGGTGTGTTTCATGTTTTGCAGTTTTGCTGAAGAGGCCAGAGGTGAATTGGTGAGTACAATTCCATTCAAATGCTTACCTACCTTGAAACTTGAAAGCCTTCATTCAAAAGGGGAACAGGCTTGTTTCAGATGGCTGTCCTCTGTGACATCCATTAAAACTGGAATGTGTTATCGATCCCTGGACCTCATGCCTGGTACCTGACAGTTATGTGTTTCTGCAATGTCCGGGGTACCAGCACATTCTAGTATTTTACATCTATGTCCCTGGACCCTTCTGGTACTGACGGATTTCGTACATACCCCTGAGCCCAGCCTAGCCGTTTTATGCTGTTCACAGATATATGTACCGGTCTCACACACTGGTTGGACACCTTGTGCTGTACTCAGTTTTGAGACATTGAGTATGGCTGGTACTCTTCTCCGAGCGTCCTCATCATACCAGTCTAGTTCTGCATAGGAGTCTGGTCGTGTGTGTGTGAGTTCACTCCCTCTCACCTTTTCCTCCTCATCCTCCTCAAACCCAGTGCTCGTCACATGGGTATCGGAGCTGTAAAGACCCGCCTGCCACCCTGCTTTCCGTCCAGGACCCTTGCCATGTGGCAGGGCTGTGAAAAGAGCTTTTTTTTTGTTTTGTTTCAAGCATCATCATGTACACAGTCGTGATGAACGTGATTGATGCCACCATTACTGGTCCTCTTCATGGCTGATTGTCATTGCTTCGTTGCTGTCGTCGCCGTCATCACCGGGATTGTGAACAGCATGGTGATCGATTGCCATCATCCTTGACATCATCAAATGATCAAAGTCGTCACTATCATCATCATCAGTGTATGCCGCTCGCTGTCATTGTCGCCACCATCATCGTCATCCAACTTCAACATCACTATCCTTCGGTATCAAGTGATCCCCATCAAGGACGTGTTCACCTTGGCCGACTCCGTTCTTGCAGTCCTTGCAGATCTACAGCGCTTGGCCGTTCATCCCGAAGGCATCACTGTGAGTTCTCCTCCTCACCTACACCCCAACCTCAATTTCATGACGCTCCACCTCGGAGCCATCCATCTACCTACCTTGATTCAGCATTCCTTCTTCTTCTTCTTCTTCTTCTTCTTCTTCTTCTTCTTCTTCTTCTTCTTCTTTTTAAACACACTCTCCGATCTATTCGTGGGGAGCAGCACATGCTGGGAACAGGCCCAGCGTCCCTTATAATGAGACTACAATAATGAAATTGATGATGATTTGTCGATGATTAGTATGATGAGGATGATTCAGAATGTCTCGGAGCTTTATCAGCTTCGATTGCGAAGATGTGACCAGCTCAGAACTCTACTTCTGTCCAAACCCTCATTCCAGGTATCCCTATCAACCCAGCCAAATCCAAGCCTAGCTATGCTGTCTATCTACCAGGCCTATACCCGGTCTCACACCGCCAATCAGACTAGGTTAAAGGGCAGCGTGACCCGCCACAGCTCTTACCATGGTCGACCTAGCAGTAGCCCCCGGTCAGTCACTGGATTACCTTCCACCCTCGGCAATCCCCAGATCTCTCTACAAGGCCTCATCCCCCTGTCAGCATTCCAATTGTGACCTTGTTCGCAATCACGATTCTAGTATTCTCCCCTTTCACGCTCCCTATGCCCTCTCACATTTGCCGCCGCCTCATACCGAAATCATACGAATATTTTAGAGATTCAACTTCTTTCTCATCTTCGTGTAGTAACCTTTGCGAGCTCCTCTTCTGTCGCTCATTCCAGAATTTGATGCCATTCTCTTTTTTTTTTTTTTTTTTTTTTTTTTTTTCAAGTGCCCAAGGCTGGTATTACCAATAAAAAGATTGTGGGTTGAGGCCGGGGTCCTCACAGTCTGCCCGGAGTAACCGAACCAAACTTGCTGAGAACCGGGCGCAGCGTCCCTCATGTGGTGATGATGATGATCCTGGATGATGCTAATGATGATGATGATTAGTCTCTATAAAGATTATAGAAGCATGTGCTATATCAGCAGTTCTGGCCTCCTAATCCTATACCAACTCCTAGTCTTCCCTGTACCAGGACATTGTAACTCAGAGACAAAACCAACCTAACCTACATCCCCCATAGCTGATCTCTTCTCACCACATAGCAGCCCCCCCCGGTTCGCCACTGGATTGCTGTCCTCCCTCGGCAAACCCCAGATCTCTCTACAAGGCCTCACACTCTTGCCATTTGCAGGTTACAGGGCAGCGCCCCAGCTCCAGCCAGCGTCGTTCTGGCATCGGTCAACCAGGGGCACAGAACAGAGCAACTCTGCAGATCTCAGAGTCATCGCTTGATCGATATCCCTTGAGTCATCTGTAATGGAAGTTTTTCCCTCCCTTATGCTCTAACAAATGCACTAATTTATTGAAATTATTTCTCAGTACTCTTATTACTTTTAATTTTTTAATTTTTTATTTTATCTTCAAAAGGGCGACGGCCTTGAGATATTATCATTGAGCTGACCGGCCCCAAGCAATTCATTAGTAGTTGGTTTTACTCGTCGAAGTCCATCATCTGGATTCGAACACAGCACCTGGTCTGTATTTCAACAGTTCATGGGTGTACCCACTGAGCTTGGCTCTTGGGTTTAATTTTATTTTTAACTGTAACACATTTGAGACTTTTCTCTCCCAACCAACGTGCTTTTCAATTCCGCAGTTAACTAACCCTAAACCATTACTAGTTGTGTATCATCCCGAAGATCGCGACGCTTGAAAAATTTCCCATTAAAAAATTCCCATAAAAAAGAATCAAGATCGTTTTTTCATGAGAACTTCTTTGCTTATGAACCTTTTCTAGATCCATTTTTTGCCACTTGTTTTTTTTTCCGATTCCACTTTCAACGAGCCTTCATTTGCCTGACTCCAACTGCATTGATCTTTTGATTCCCTGAATATCATTTTGGACAGACATCATGAGGGAGAGGATCATTTTAGGAAGACTGTTGAGAGTTATTGGGGGGGGTAGATGATTGGTTATTGTCGGGAGCTTGAGAAATAGATCTGTCGTTCGAAGTTGGGGAAGTCTTGCTGAGGTGGTCATTGAGGGAATCGTTGACAGAGGACATGGTGATGTCCTCAAGACGGCAAGGGCAAGCTCGGTAGGGGATGAAAAAAGTGACCCTACTCACCGTTTAGATCTTCATTCTGTGATTTTTGTTTTTGGACCGTTAAAAAAAATAAATTTGTGTGACTTGGTTGAGCAATGAGCGGAAACTTTGATAGGTCGTAACCTTCCACGTCCCATCCTTCCTCCACTTGAACTCTGTACCACTGTCACATAGTCCTTCGACTTACGGACATTGACTTCTGGTCTGTCGGATTCTCCCGTGGGGTTGAGTTCATTTCTGCCATTGGATAACTCAAGTGTGGACCACTCATCCACCGACTATTCCCTCGACGATGAGTGTTGTTCCATTGGTTGAACCACCACCGCCTCTTGCTCCATCGCTCTTGAGCCCAGCCCGGAGGTTATTATGTACTCCAATCTTGTTGATGAGAAGGACCAAGTTAATCGGTTAGCCAAACTAGGCGAAGAACAACGCCGGCTAAACAACATGATCTCCACCGCCATGGCTGGCTCCTCCCAATATCAATGCAAGTTCATTCGAGTTTCCTTAGGTGCAGCCACTGGGAAGTTTGAAGCCTTACTAGATGTAGGAGCTACTGGAAACTTCATATCTGAGGCTTGCGTTTGCAAGGCCGCTATGAATCCCCCCCGACCGCGGTCGCCGCAGTCACGACCGCGGCTTGTTGTCATGGCCACGACCTCGCGGTCATGACTGTGGCCGCGTAGCGGCCAGAGGGGGTGTTGGGGGTTGGGGGTTGCGGATTGGGGTTCTGGAACCCCGACCCTACCCCCTAGAAAAAACAAAATACTCTGAAGAAAAAATAAAATAAAAAATATTGATTGATTGATTGATGTCTTAAGAAACATCGCGTTAAGAAACATCGTGTTAAGACAAGGCCCGGCATGCTTGGTGGGTGGAAAAAAATACCAGGAGTGGTAATGATGTCTTAAGAAACATCGTGTTATGATGTCATTAATTAATTGGACAACTCTGAAGAAAAAATAGTCAATCCTCTGGAACGATGGACGTTCAAATTACCAGGCATGCAAGCATGGAGGTTTTATGTTTGTTTGTTTGTTTGTTTCTTTATTTGTTTTTGTTTTTTTTTGTTTTTTTTTTTTTAATAAATGGGCCCAGGGCCCAAGGCTGATATTACCAATAAGAAGATTGAGGCCGGGGTCCTCACAGTCTACCCGGAGTAACTGAACCGAACATACTGAGAACCGGGCTCAGCGTCCCTCATATGATGATGATGATGATTATGAACTTCTACGGATTCTATGTAAACTGTGAGATAATGATACTAATGATGATGATGATGATGATGATGATGATGATGTAAAAAAATATAGAAGACTATGCTATATCAGCAATTCTGGCCTCCTAATCCTAGAACGACTCCTAGCCCTCCCTGTATCAGGACATCACATCTCAGAGACAATACCATCCTAACATTGTCCACTGTATCTGATCTGTTCTCGCCACCTAGACTATCCCTGGACCCATAGGTTGTCAAGGCAGCCCCCCACGGTTCACCACTGGATTGCCTTCCTCCCTCAGCAAGTCCCCAGAACTCTCTACAAGGCCTCACACTTCTGCCATTTGCAGGTTACAAGGCAACACCCCAGCTCCGACCAGCGTCGTTCTAGCATCAGCAAACTAGGGGCACAAAACAGAGCAACTCCGCAGATATCAGTCCAGATTCGACCATCTCTGAAATCCTATATCCCGAATGAAAAAGAAGGCCAAATACCTCAAAGAATTACAGAACACCAGAAAGCTTGATATGACATGATGAATTTTGAAGCACCTGTTCTGGGAAAATTAATATCCCCCCTCCACTCGTTCCCCCCCTATCCCAACGCTGCCTCCACCGAAACAGATTACCCAGATTGCAGGCATCCCATCTCAGCCCCAACTTGGGACAGTCCCACTTTCCCCCCCCTTATCCCACAAAGGCATACAGTTCCCTCCCAAAGTATGCCTCTGCCCACCTTTTACCCTAATTTGCCCCCGCTGGGATGTGTATCCCCACCCCAACCCCAGAATAGAGCAACCCACTTAATCTGCTCGCACCCCCTCCAGGGCTTCACCTCCCACCTGGCGTTGCCCCTGCAGAGTGGAGCTCTCCCCTGTTCACTCCACCTTCCATCCATCAGGAAAAAAATGCCGATGCTCAGAGAGGAGAATATAGATACCAGGAACAGGCATTCGAACCAGAGAAGTTGCTGGATAAATATTGAAGACCAGGTTTCTGCAAAAGAATTGGATAAGAGTCAGCTTATGGAAGCAAATGCAGCGAAAATAAGAACATGGAACGTAAAAATGCAGACTGGAGAAATCTTGAAGACCAAAATTCTGCAATAGAATTGGATAAGAGTCAGCTTATGGAAGCAAATGCAACGAATATATAACCATGGAAGGTGGAAATGCAGATTGGAGATGCAGAAATTGGAAATGTAGGAATTTAGGAATTTTAGGTATTAAAAATTCCAATCAGCTTAGTTGTAGGAGTTGAGAGTTACGATGATTCTGGAATATTTGGGAATATTATTTAGAAATTTAGAAATTTAATTTAGATATTTAATTAGGATATTGAAAGAGTAGATTTGGTTATTAGGATAATGATATGTATGATGATTGGATGTTGATTAATTAGTTAAAAAGGATACTAATTAGAAGTAAGAATTAGGAGAATAGTACAGCTTGTATTACTAAGTGGCCCATCCCTTTCCCCCCTAAATCCTAATCTCCCACCTCCTCACCTACTACCTTTCCCCTTCTCTCCCTCTCTTATCCCCACCTTCTTCCTACCCCGGCCCCTCCTACCCCATTCCCTCCTCCACTTCCACCCATTGTTGCCCCACTACACTCCTCGTCCTTAATGGATGAGACGGCGGAACAACCCC